CGGAGCGCGCCAGCAGCAGCAGCAGGGACGCCCACCCGAGCAGCATAGTGCGCTGCCCGCGGGGAGGGGCTGCGCGGCGGGGACTTTATGGGTATTTGTTATTCGCTATGAAAGTTACCGGGGCGGGAGGTAGGGGCACACACAGACTTGCTTGCAAGTTGAGTCAAGTGTCGGAGGGAGGGGGGACCCGGCGGCAGTGCCAGCCCGTCCGGGCCGCGGTGCCAGCGTGCGAACTTTTCTTTGTTGGTTTGGAAAATGTTTGGATTCGTGCTCCGGAAAGAGGAGGAAAAAAAATTAGAAAGAGCAAAAGCCGGGTTGTGGAGAGTCAGCAAATACAAGAAAAAAAGGGAAAACCTTAAATCCACCCCAAACACAGCTACTACTCGCTGCACCAAGAAAAGTAAGGAAGGTGCCGCGCGCCAGGCGGGCGACTGGTGAGCGCTGCCTCCAGCCCCCTCGCTGCCCCGGACCCGCCGGCGGCGGGGCGTCCAAGCTCCGGAGCCCACTTCCTTTCTTATTTTGTGGGTTTCCTGGACTCTTCTGGAACCAGGAGCAAGGGAAGAAAGATAGGGGGAAAAGCCATAAAAATTAAAACAAAAACGCAAGGGGCGGCCTGCAGCGAGCCCGCGAAGCGGCGCGTCCGTGTCCCCTCGGATGCAGTGCCTTCCTGCTCGCCGTCATCCCCAGTCGGCCGCTGCGAGCGCGGAGAGCAGCGCGAGCGCTGTGAAGATGCGAGGAGGTGGAACAATGAATTTATAGCGGCATGCCATCCTGCAATGGCAATTTCAACAATTCGTCACTGCAAGCTGCCTCTTAAAGGGAGAGCTTCCCCCACCACTCCCACCCTTCCCGGTCCGCGCCTAATCAGATGGGGGAGGGCGGGCGAGGGGGGCGATCGAGGAAAGGGAGACCGGGAAGGAGGAAGGGACCCGGCGAGGTGGAAGGAGGGACGAGGGAGGGAGCAAGGGCAAGAGGAAAAAAAAAAAAAAAAAGTATTTGAGTAAGAAAAAAACAGATTTTCTTGGCCTCATTTAAAGCCACAGCGGCTCCGGGTTTGTCTGATATTTCACAACGAATAGGGGTTGGCTAACCTCGGCTTACCTCATCTCCTGAAGGGGTGTTTGGTGTGTTTTTAAAGTTACTGAGACATTTCAAGTCTCTCCCTGCCTTCTCTCTTGATTTTCTTTCCCTCGGTAGGAAGTTCCTGCCGCAAGTTTCCCCCCTTTGCACGTCCGTGCACTTCGGCCTCGCAGACAGTGCAACTCCATCCAGCAAGGGACTTTCGGCTTCCCGTGCGTCCACTCGCCCCGCGCTCCTCTCGCTTCCTCCCGGCGGTCCCGGTACCGAGTTTCCTCCCTCCCCATTCCTCGGTCTGTGCGCTCCGACGCTCGTCGGGTTAGGGCTCGGGATGACTAATTTCTCCCAGCCACCAGCAGAGGGGCCGGGCGGCGCGAGAGCCGCAGGCGCTTCCTGGCGCGTCGCGGCCCCCAGAATGTTTCTGTGCCCCCGGCGGGGCCGCCTGGGAACTCCGCGCCTTTGTGTGCGACCTGCCGGCTCCCAGCTTTCTCAAGAGTGCTTTGCATCTGTGCCCACAATCTGTCACTCAATCCCAGAAGACTGGAACTTCCTTTGCTTTGCTTGAAGAAGGCTGGGCCAGAAAGGGTTAACTCTTGAAAGGAATTGAGCTCATATTTTAAAATATTAAAAAAAAAAAAGTGTCCACATTTTTCTTCCTTCGATTAAATGATAAATGATAAATACTAGTATTTGTATTTCTCTCTCCAAAAAACAACTACTTATCGCCCTAGGCCCTGACTTGCTATCATTCTCAGAAATTCCTTTTATGAGAAAAAGAAGACTGGAGGGAGAGGGTGGTGTTTATTAGTACATGAGTGGCATTGTCCCTGCGACTTGGTTTCTACTTCTTTATTTCCCCTAATTATCAACTCTAATAGGAAAAGAAGGAAAAATCCGATGACTTCGTAACCACTACCCGCTAAAGGTTAGGTCTACTGTAAGAGCAGGAGCATTCTCCTCCCCCAAGCAAATTAATGAATACATCAGTGAAAAATGAATTCGGGTAGCACAGTTCTCTTTCCACATTTGTTTAACTTACGGGGATGTGGAGGCCTCAGTGGACCCCAAGCTGCTGTTGGTTTTCCCATATTCCTTGCTAAAAAATCTGACTACTTTTTTCAGCAAGCGAATCAGGAAGGACCTGGGCAGACTAGAGGTCTTCAGAGTGGTGAGGAGCCCCAGGAGGGAATCCCAGAATTGTCCAGCAATGATGCCCAGTGCCTGTGCCTGGAGCACCCTCTGGAGTCACCTGGGAGGCATGAGAGTGAAGCATGTCCTGGGATTTCATTCACATTTATAATTGAAGTGATCACTGGGGTCCCAGACCACCCTACAACTCCTAGTGGATCCTGAAATACCTCCAGACCTCGAGAGGAAGCTGCTATTACTGAAGGCTATTGTCTTTTAATTTGTAACTCCTTAGTCTCTCAGTGGTCAGTTAGTTGCCCACAGATAATACTACCAGTTGAATATTTTGAGGAACAAGAGACTTCAGGAGCAGGATAGAAGAGAACGTAGGTTCCATCAGTCTTCTCTGTCTCTCCAATAGTCTTCGAGTGTGTTGTTCTTGTGCTTATAGAGAGCATTTTTTTTACCAGCTTCAGTGAAAAGTAGTTCAATATATTTGACACTAAACACCATCTCTAAAACAACTTCGATTCAGTAAGTGTAACCAATTTATTATCGTTAATCTCAAAGGATAATTTTGATAGGCATTTTAGATGACAGTGGTTTAAATTTATTAATTACAATTATTTGCATTCGCAGACCTGAGATTTCTTATTTAGCATTTAAGGAAATTCCAGCTGAATTTTCTTCTTAGTGAAAGTTCTCCTCTTTCAAAAACATGACATTTCTCACATAAATCATACCTCTGACTTTTATGCTTAAATTTAAGTTCCATTAAATAATGATGTTTATACTCAGATTATGCGAATGTTTAGAAATATGTTGAGGAAAAAGATAGAGAAAGCTCCAAATGTGAATATCAAGTACTAAATATTAGAACCAACTTCTACTTGTCTATAATTTTTATTTTTTTGTGAAAGTAACTTGGGTATTTTAGGAAGTTCATTTGGTGATACTTTTAAAATATTACCCTAGTGGATTAGGATGAACTGCTATGTTCCAAAAGATGCCTGTCTGTCCAAGGAAGAAATTTGCACCGAATAGAAGTTTTTATTTACTTAATTTTTTTTACAATAGAAAGAGAATATATTAGCAATTATGTTTAGGTGGACCGATTGCTTTATTATTTTATTATTCCAAGTACTGGTTTTATTTGTGCATATTTAATGGGAAATTTCCACTGCATTTGTACAGCATATGATCACACCTGATATGTAATTTTATCTTTTCCAAAAAGAAGAGACTTTCTGCTGCAGACTGTTACAGTTGGAAGTGATCTTGGAGATCATATAAGGCAACTTCCATCATCTACCAATGAGAAACTGAAAGTAGAGATCAAAGTGACTTCCTGTGGTTAAAAAGTCCACTAGTGGCCAGTTCTCCGGAAACCTATTTCCCTTACTTCCTTGATTGATGTTCGATCTACAATACTTCTTAAAATCTAGCCAGTTTAGCAAATACCTGCTGCAAAGTGCTCTGTGAGGTTCTCTGAAGGATTATATAGATGAGTAAGCCATGATTAATGTTCAGAGAAGCTCACAGTTCCGAGATGGAGCCAATTGTACCAAGAGGTACTTGGAACACAAGCTGGGAAATAACAAGTATAGAGGGGGAAAAAGCAAGAGAACAGCTTCTGCAGGCTCTCCGAGATGTGTATTTCCAATAGTTTCACTCCTTAGGGTTTGTGTATCCTTGTAAGTAGTATTTCCTCCTCGTTCCCCATCTACGATTTTAAGGGTAGGAGTGAGGAAATAACTGACAATAAAATATTCCTCTCCAAACAAACACCTCCTCCTTACTTCCAAAGAATTGTAGAATTGCAGCCTCTCAATTCTGTGTGTTAGCGTTCCTTTCCCACATCAAGATCCCTGCCCCAGGCCTTGGAGTATTTTGAACTCCTTTAATATCATCTCCCTCAGTGGCAGGATGGCAGATGCTAGGAGTGGAATGTAGCACTACTGCTTGAGGCCGTGTATGCTGCCTTAAAGACTCTAGGCCAGCCTTTTCTACCAGCGCCACTTGGCTTTGCAAATTCTAGTTCTCACAAGACTTCCTTCAAAACCAAAGGTTATTTTAGATACCTCATGTAAGTGCAATCATGCAGTATTTGTTCTTCCGTGACTGGCTTATTTCACTTAGCATAATGTCCTCCAGGTTTATGAGTGTGTTGCACATAAAATAGTCAAATTCATAGTAGCAGAGAGTAGAATGATGGTTGCCGGGGGTTGGGGGAGGGGAAGTTATACTTTTCACTGAGTATAAAGTTTCAGTTATGCCAGAAGAATAAGTTATAGAGATCTGCTGTACAGCGTGGTACCTGGAGTTAATGACACTATTTTGTACACTTAAAAAACTACCGAGGGTAGATTTTGAGTCAATTGTTCCTATCAAAAAACAAAACAAAGCCAAATATAACATTTTGGGAATAGAGAAAGGAGTGAATTCACTATGCAGTTTTGATATTAATCCTGAATCTTTAGAGACTGAAACTATATCTGAACAGTCCTTCTCTCTTTTTCCAGCCCCTTACCTCCCTCTATCTCCTTCTATATCTCATAAGGTCTAACATGCATCTTGAC